CTCATGGAGCACTTGGGCTACAAGTTTATCCGCCTCGACGGCTCGACGACCGTCTCGGATCGCCAAGCGCTCATCGATCAGTTCAACGAAGACACGTCGATCTTTGTCTTTCTTCTCTCGACGCGCGCGGGCGGTCTCGGCATCAACCTCACGGCGGCGGACACGGTGATTCTGCACGACTTGGACTTCAACCCGACGATCGACGCGCAAGCCTGCGACCGCTGCCACCGCATCGGGCAGACCAAGCCCGTCACGATCTACAAGCTCGTCGCGAGCGACACGGTCGACCAAGCCATCTACAACATCGCCGAGCAAAAGACGCAGCTCAACGACGCCGTCCTCGGCGAGCTCGGCAAGTCCAAAAAGTCCACCAAGGCCGGAACGAACAGCTCGACCGCGGACGTCCAAGCCATTCTCTCGTCCGTGCTCTCGTCGTACACTGCGAAATAAGCGCATAAGATAAGAGGATAAATCTTGGATACAAGTATACTATGACACGATCGGGTCGTCCATGGACGGAAACCGAAAGTTGGCGGCGAGGAACTGGTTGCGCTGACAGCTGCGAAGCGTCGTCTTGACCTAATCACAACGCTTCCGACGCTGCTCCATATAGACATGTAGTACCTGCGCGGCAAAGTCATTTGCGGATCGGCCAAAGCCGTTGAACGTGTTGGCGCAGAACCCGAGCTGGCCGCCATAGTACATGAGGAACATGGGGTAGACGCGAAAGTTGTGGCGCCTGCCTCACATCGTATCAGCCCAGTAGTATTTGCCAGCATCAAATAGAGTGCCGCACGAGCTCAGAAGTGTCGAGGTTGAGCAGTCGGCGAGCACGATGCGCTTGGCGCTGAGCGCGCGGTCGGGCGCCGGGTCCTCGTACGCCCCATGGTTGTGAAGCGGCGGCGTGTCGTCGTCGACGGGCCGCCTACACGACGCGTTGCTTCTTCGTGCACCGATTCGACCGATGGGATCGTCGTACGTGGTGTCGTCGGTCGCCCACTCGACTTCGATCGTCGCCAGCATGCGCTCGGCCTGGACGCAGTCGGACGTCGAGAGATTCGAGCAGACAACAACGAGGAGCTATCCAATACGACACGGTGTCGGTGGTGTCAAGGCGTTGTATGTACCTGGGTGCTCTTCATGCGCGCGACCATGTGGTCTAAGAACCGCGGGTGGAGGCGCGGGAGGGTCTTGATGATGGCCTTGGGCTTGACGATCTACCCACCGAACCGATGCTCGTATGCTCGTAGTGCCAGGCGAGGACGAACCTTGGCCGACGGGATGTAGCTCTGCTGGCGCTTGATCGGCGAGAAGAAGCTGTGGCAAGGAATGCTGCGCTGGGCCTCGACTTGGTCGTTTACATTTTGCCCAATCGCTGTCGTGTAGCTACAGTGCATCGTCAAGTAGACTCACATGCATCGCGGCTCGTACGCTTTCAGCCGCAGCACCAGCGACTTGTTGGTCTCGACGAGCGGCTGGAGGTGCGACCGGACGCGCACCTTGTCGACTTCGCGGCCGCTCGCCGAGACGCGCGGCAGATGCCAGTTGTAGCGCTGCGCTTTCTTGGTCGGCGTCTCGTTCTACGCGCCGCGTGCTATATGGAGACATTGCCTTCTCGAGATGGCACCTGGCGATCTTGGCGATCGACGAGCGACGGCCGCGGGATGGCCAGCTCGAGGGACCCGTCGACCCGCCGGTGCTGAATCTGCGCATGGCGAATTGCAGCGATGACGCAAAGCCAACACGATGCACCTTGTTGAGGTACGATTCCCGCACGGGTCGTCCGAGTTCGAACACCTGCAACCATATTCTTTTCACGGAGATACTACGAGACGCCTGCGTACAAGAACGCTGTGGTGCTTGACGGTGAGCTGTATCGCTGCTTGGCTCGAGCACTGGAGCGCCATGACCGAGTTGAGCTGCAGATCGATGGGGCGTCGTAGCAGCGTCGTCGCCGAGGTCGGATCCCAGCGATAGTGCTGCAACAACAATCGCTTAGACTTAGCAGCAAGCAAGTGCATTGGTACCTGCAATATTTCGCCGTCCTCACCAGCGACAAGCACGTCTGCGTCAGTGGCTACGAAGCGCTGCTGGCCTGTGCGGTAGTTGGCAAAGCCGTTGCCGCCAAAGCTGAAGCCGACGAGGAGCTGCCCCGGCTGCCCGTCCAGCCGCGTGTCTGTCGACCGATTCTTGAGTGGGTTCAGGACATGATCCGACGCACCGTCGTAAAACTGCCCGTACTTGGCACCGTCCACGCGACTAATGACGGCGAGGACCGAGCCGGATCCATATCTGCAGCAGCGTCAACAAGGTAGAGTGCGGGTCTCGTACCGCAGGATGCCGCAGCCGTCCTCATCGAGGCTCATGGGTCTAAATTTAGAGTCAAGCGCAATGCCGACGCAATATGATGAAAGCACTCGTTAGGTCTTAGTGCGCTCGTTAATAGCTTCACGTCTCGTCCGCCTGGAACTTGATCGAGATGCTATTGACGCAGTGGCGGTGGTTCGTCGGCGTAGGGAAGCCTTCGTTCTCAAAGACATGGCCCATGTGGCCGTGGCACGACAGCGCAGACGATCTCGGTTCGCTGGCCGTCGCTGGTCGGGCACCCACGAGATGGCACTGGGCAGCGCATCGTAGAACGCA